TAGTCCTTGCTTTTATTTTTTTAAATAAATGTTCAAATTGTGAAATAGGTGGAGGTGTACTTCGGATCATCAATTTTATAATGAACAGTTTAAACAGTTTATACTAGAGTATAAACCAACCAGAATATCAACCGAGGCACCTAATTTTATAGCATCTGGGTCTAAAAGGCTTGAAGGTAAACAAGTGGTCTTCTAGCTCAGAAGCAACAAAGCTCACATGGAAGGAGCACACCAGCCTGTGTGATCACGAGGTGTTGAAGGGATCAGGTATCAGGCAGCAAAGAACAAAAAAATCATATAATTGAGAATTAGGAGCACTGCGGAGTGGGGACCCAAAGCCAACTATAGGCAACTGGACATCCCCTTACAGAATGGTCTCGGGGAGAAGACAAGCCAGTCAGGGTGCAGTGAAGCAATGATGAGACATGCAACTTCTAGTTCTTAAATGCTTCCTCCCCCCACACCCCACTATTGTGATTTCAATTCTACCTTACAAATCCGGCTAGACCAGAGGATGTGCACTGGTACAGATAGGAACTGGAAACACAGGGAGTCCAGGACAGATGAACCCCTCAGGATCAGCGGTGAGAGTGGCGATACCAGGAGGGTGGAGGGAAGGTGGGATAGAAAGGGGGAACCGAACATAAGGATCTACATATAACCCCCTCCCTGGCGGAGTGAACAACAGAAAAGTGGGTTAAGGGAGACTTTGGACAGTGTAAGACATGACAAAATAATAATAATTATAAATTATCAAGGGTTCATGAGGGAGGGAAGAGCGGGGAGGGAGGGGAAAAATGAGCTGATACCAAGGACTCAAGTAGAAAGCAAATGTTTTGAGAATGATGACGGTAACAAATGTTCAAATGTGGTCAACATAATGGATGTATGTATGGATTGTGATAAGAGTGTGCGAGCCCCCAATAAAATGATTGGAAAAAAAACTGCATAAAAATTGTGCTGAAAAACTCTGCTTATACTCGAGTGTATATGGTATTAATCAAAGCCCCTAGTAGTTTATCCTACTCTTTTCCTTGGATTTATCCTCTCCTTTTTGTGAATTCCACTTCACTCAAGTTAGTACCTGTCAACCCTGTCTAGCCTATTGCTTCATCATCCCCTGCTTGATAACCTCTAGTGGCTGTTCCCTTTGGTGTGAACATCTTTGGTTTCTTTTTTCTTCCTCTCTTCTCTCTCGCTCTCTCTCTTTCTAATAGCGGTCTCATAAAATATTTGACCTGTGATTGACTAATTTTACTCAGCATAGTGTTCTCCAGGTTCATCCATGCCATGAAATGTTTTGTGGTTTTGCCATTGTTGATTTTTTTAATTGATGCATCGTATTCCATTGTGTATATGCACCAAAGCTTCTTTACCAATTCATCTGCTGCTGGACATGAAGGTTGTTTTCATCCTCTTGCTATTGTGAGCAGTGCTGCAATGCACATGGGTGGGCACTTATTTGTTCGTGCTGTGTTCATGCTTACGTGTTCTGCCTCTTAACTTCTTCAGGCTGTCTACCCGGCAGAGGGGTGGTTGAGTCATGTGGTTTCTATTCCCACTTGTTTGAGGTAGTGCTATATCACTTTCCCCAGTGGTTGTACCTATCTACAGTTCAGCAGTGTGTGAGGGTTATAGCCTCTTTGTAGCTTCTCCAAAATTTAGTTTCTGCTTTATGAATTTGGCTGTCATGGTTAGTGTAACAGTGGTCTTCCTCCTTGCTTTGTTTTGAATCTCCCAGCTGGCTAGTGATTGCAAGCATTTCTTCATATGCTATGGGTTGCCATCTTTGTCTACCTGTCTGTTCACGTTCTTTGTGTGGATAAATTGTTGAATGAAACAGGAAACAGCGAAAGAAGAGGAATCGGCTACACAGAGTCACCGCACAAAAACCAAAAAAGTTAACCATTTCAGAAGGTAGCACCTGATCAAGAATCAGTGGTGTTGCAAGAAGGCATCCAAGCTGCACTGAAGGCACACGTGGGAAGCAAGGCTCCAGGCATCCACAAAACATCGATGCAAAATGTCAACACTGGAAGCATCCAGTCTTCTATGCCAAGAAATGTGGAAGCTCCCTGGTAATTGGGAGAGTTCCATCTGCATTTGATTTTTTTTTTAAACAGGGGAGAGCGCGAAGAAAGGTGTCCAACAATCAAGTCATTAGTATTACATTCAAGTAAACTTTTCCTGAAGATAATTAAAAAGCAGCACCAGCAATCTATCAACAAGGAACTGCCCCAAATCAAGTCTGATTCAGAAGAGGATGTGGAACAAGAAATATCATTGCTGATGTCAGATGAATCTTGGCTGAAAACAGAACACCAGGAAGATGCTTAAATGTGCTATATTGACAATGGAGGTGTTTGACCTAATGGACCATAACAAACTATGGGTAACATTGCCAAGAGTGAGAACTCCACAACATACAACCTGCATCTAGACCAAGAGGCAGTCATTGAAAAAGAAAAAGGGCGTGCTGTGTATTTTGAAATAAAGACAGGTGTGTTTCAGGGTTGTACCCTGCCACTATACTTATTCGGTCTACATGGCCATATGGTGAGCAAATAATCTGGGGAGATGGAATATATAGTCCATCTTCATATATGTACCATATGAAGAATGTGTGGCACCAGGATTGAAGGGAAATTCACTCACATTGTGTGAGGTGCAGAAAATACAACCTTGCTTGCTGAAAGTGAAGAGGGCTCAAAACATTCTTGAAGGTAAGCAAAAATAGTTCCTTCAATATGATTACACCTCAGTATAAAGAAAACAAAAACAACTGGACTAATAGGTAACCTCTTGATAAATGGAGAAAATATTGAAGTGGTCAGGAATTTCGTTTTCCTAGAATTGACAATCAATCCCTGTGGAGTCGTAGTTCAGAAATCAAATGATGTATTGTTGGACTCTGCAATGACACCTCTTGAAATGTAACAAAGCAAAGGTCACTTTGGAGAAAGGTGCAACGGATCCAAACCATTGTCAATGGCCTCATATGCATAGGAAAATTGAACAACCGAGTCAGGAAGAGCAGAGAAGAATGCATGCCTTTGAGTGGTGGTGCTGGGAAAGAACATTGTGTGTGCTATGGACTGCTGGAAGAACAAGCAAATCTGACTTGAGAGTACAATGAGAATAAGGCGTACTTATAAGTGTGTCTGTCGACAGTTCATCACACATCCTTTGTACTTGTTACCAGGTAGACCAGTCCCTGAAGATGCACATCACATCTAGTAAAATAAAGAGTAAGCAAAAACGTAGACGACCTTCAGTGAGTTGAATTTGATACAGTGGCTGCAACAATGGGCATAACCATGAGGATAGAGTAGGATTGGACAGAGCTGCAGTCTGTGGTCCTTGGGGGCCCAGTGAGCTGGAACTGGCTAGATAGCACTTACAAGCAACAATCATTTAAAACAGCAACATTTATAGCAGCAACAACAAAAACCACTGCTCCCATGCTTCTTATCACACATGACAGAATTAACCTTCATTCTGAACATCTAGTATTTAGTCCATGAGTAAATTTCTCTGATTATATATCCACAGCATGTATATTCAAATGGGATCTAAGCAAGTTCTACCCAGTGCTTTCGGTTATTTATCTCATTTATTTTAAAACAGTTTCTCTATCTCCTCTTTTTACCGTCATTGATTTGTTGGTGAAACCTTATGTCATTTTCCCCTCCCATTCTGCTTCCCAGAGATGACTTGTTCTCTATTCCTCATATTTTCTGTAAAGTGTAGTTAGAGCTACAAACATGATTCAAGTTCCTTTCTTGATGAAAGAAGGCTGCTATGTAACATCACCTTATGCATTACTGTCTAAGAGCATGTGATTGTCTCAAATTTAGTGATACTGAAATTGATTAGTAATTTAAGTCATAGGGGCTTAGGTGGAGAGCAAATGTTTTAAGAATGATGAGGGCAATGAATGTACAAATGTGCTTTACACAGTTGATGTATGTATGGATTGTGATAAGAGTTGTTTGAGCCCCTAATAAAATGATTTAAAAAAAGTAAGTTAAGTCGTTAGCCTGGTCCCTTTCTGATAAAGTTTATTGTCTATCTTCCATACCATGGTTTTACCAATCCAATTATGATCTCTGCTGATTTTATTAGAATTCACAAATATGGTAATTAAAAGAACTTTTTCCCTTCCTCATGTATTAGCAACCTTTCTATGCATAAGAACATTATTAAATATGATTACCCCAAATTGTAAACCCAAACCTATTCACTTTGATTAGATTGTGACTGAGGTGACGCTATAGGACAGAGGACTTCCTCAGAAGGTTTCTTAGGTTCTCACCTTTAGTGAAGCAAAGGCCACCCTGGCTTTCCGTTGGCAGCCTGGGCTTAGCCACTGTGCTACCTACCAGGGCTCTGTGACCATGAGCTCCAGTTTGTGCTGTAAAGGCAGGACGACTGCTCGGGCGTGCTTTGCGTTATCAGACTAATGAGTTGGTGCCTTAGCAACCTCCAATGCGAATGATCACTTCACTTTTTCAAAAGTTACTGCAAACCCTGACATTTTAATCTTTTGAGATGTTTCAGCGCTTTACAAGTTATTCTTTCCAATCCTCATAATTGTTCACCTGAGCCCGGTGGGAGCCCCTGGACATTGACTTCCGTGTCTTTTTGATGTGGCCTCGTTAGTTTGATATTTTTCTTACCCCTGGAACAAGGAAGGGTGAGGGGAAATATCTCCTTAAGTGATTGTGGTTTGTAGGTGCTTTCAAGTCAGATCCAGCTCGCTGGGACCCCCTGGGCAACAGAATGAGCCGTTGCCCAAATAGCCCAGGCTTATTGGGGCATTCCCTGTCCCAAACCTGGAATCACCTGCCTTCTTAGATCAAAAGCCATCTGATGTCTCTCACCTTCAGTTTGGTGGATCTCAGAATACTTTGTTTCTATGATGCACCAGTTCTAAGAACTCTAATCCCTCATGGCTACCATCACCTTTTTTTTTTTTTCTTCTCTCCTCTTCTAAGATCATGGCCGAGAGATTGCTAATAAGAGCACTGAGGGGTGGTAAAAGAACTAAAATTGTTACCCTGAATGGAAAGAAAATCATGAAGATGCCCTCAACATTAGAAAAACTGTCTGGTCTCAAGACTCTAAGCCTACAGAATAACCTGATCCCCAAAGTGTGTCCAGAGATAAGTGCCTTGACCCAGGTGAGGAGCAACCTGTTTTAAACGGAGGCTGGGGATAGGAGCAGAGAATAAAGGCGAGAGACAGAACAGTGACACGTAGCTGTATTGCTCCCAGAGACTTAATATGGAGTGCCGTGGGAGAGGGATCAGAAAGTTTTCTTCCTTCGGGAATTATATCTGGTAGAAGAAGATGTTTCAATTTATTCATGTGCTCTCTGGGTCCCATGTGGAACCAGGGGATTAGTTCTCTGCCACACTCATCTGTCTGGAGGCTATCATCTGGAAAAGGGTTGGAAGTCTGGATCTACTCGTCTACCTTGGAGGCTCACATCTGGAAGTAGGGTTGAGGATCCCGGAGATGCCTTTTCCCTTGGGGACTATCCTGAAGCCTTTTCATGTGAAATACAGAGATGTTTGGGGTATACGGAGGAAATCCTTTTTCAATTTCCTAGAGGAGGCCGAACTTTGAAATGGAGTGTTGGCAGGGAATGGGAAGGAGGGAACATTCATTTCTTCTGAAGTAGGCTTTAAAAGAAGGTTAATATTTTAAATAAAGAATATCCTTCTTAAAGAGCAAACGTCCACATGAATGAATCCCAGATGCCGTGTGAAGCATTTCTGCCTAACAATATGAAATGCCAGCTGCTAAAGATCTTGAGGTTGGAAGAAGGCAAGGGGTATTAACTTAGTCATTTTCTCTTTTTTGTCTGTGTGTGCCCTTCTAAATTGTCATCAGCACGGAAAGAACCTATAAGAACCCAGTCGTTGTAGCTCTTTAGTTTTTAGTTGATTAATCTTTTTTTAATCATCACTTACTTATCCTTGATATCCTTGAACTTGCGATCTGTGTCCACATCTTTGCATGGAATGGACTACTCTCCAATTACTCCATTTCATAAACTGTGGTGTCCAACATCGTACTCATAGTCACAAGTGAAAGATGAGTTGTGCGTTTCAATTCAACCTTAGGAGCCCTGCTGGCACAGTTGAATGCTCAGGTTGGTGACTTGAACCCACCAGCCACTCCTGGGAGGAAGACTTGGCGATCTGTGCAACCCGACGCGGCAATTCTGCTCTGCCCCATTGAGTCCCTGTGAGTCGGAATAGACTCTGGGGCACCTGAAAACACTCGACATGAAAGACAATGTGCAAAGCAATTTCACCTTTAACTGAGCCGTACGCTGATTCTCCCCCTCCACTTGATTTTTTTCCCATCAAAGTACTAGAGGATATTGATTTTCAAAAATGAAGTTCCAAAAGACTTCTCACTCCTAATGCCGATCTCCATAGATAACCGCTTTTTAGTTTATATAGTTTTCCTTGGTTTATTCATTTTAGACACCACTCCCTTTATCTGCCCCAAAGTTACATGACTATATTTAGCTTCTCTATAGCGATGTTTTAAACTTAATAACATTACACTTTGATATCTTTATCATCAACGACAAACTCTTTCCTGCATCCACCTTGTAAATTGGCAGTATTGTCATTTGTAATCCACTTGTAGCTTTCCTCCCCACTCCCACCTCACAAATTCCCAACTTCTTACGAACCAGATTTTTCACCATTTACATTCTGTTCATATAAGTATTATTAAGTCTTATTTGATTTTCCTTTTATAAAATTTTGAAATTTATATTGTTAATAAACATAATTAATAGTCTATTCAGGTGCTATCGTTAAGTTTATTCTTTATGTAGCTTTTTTATCCCCTTTGAATTTCTAATTAGCTTTCTTCTTTTGGTTGTGATTTTGCCTTTATTATAGCCTAATTTTGTTTCAAATACTATCATTCTGTTTTTGTTTTTTATTCCTTTGGAGACGTCTTTTGAGGGCTCTCCCATCTTTCTGCCTGCCTGGCCCACTGTTATCAAAGTTTCCTGGATACTGTCCTGCTAGGAGATCCCTTTGCAGCTCTCTTGATATGGATTCACTATTTTGGGCATCTCCTGGTTTGTTCTTTGGGGGTCACTCCTTGTTTTGCAGGAATATATCTCCAGTGATCTTCCTAGTCAGAGTATGGTGGTAAGGATTTTTGAGCCCTTGCTTCTCTGAAAAGATACCTGTATTCCTCTTTAAAGATTACAAAGTATATTTCCATGGGGGCACTGAGTGGAGTAGGGCTGAGAACCTATCACCGCTTTGTCTTCCTTTTACTTTTCTCCTCAGTTAACTTATTCAGGAACGATTCTAACTTTTGAAAAGACCACTGTCAACATCCTCAATAAGGAGTTAACTCAGCTTTGCTCTTATTTCTAAGGAAGAAATCATACTACTAGGAATGCAATGGCTTGAAACTAGACTTTTTATGGTTTGCCTCTAAAAGAGCTTTACAAGTTGTATTTACGCCAATGGCATGATGTTGGTTAGTTGTTTGTGAAGTAGCATTTTTTCTCTTAATACGGTCCTCAAGCCTGTAGAATTTTTAAAAGAAAAGATCAAGCAAACAATTTCTTCTGTATAGTAATAATGGGAGTTCTAGAATCAGCCCTGAATGGAATCTAGCAGTCCCCTTCAAAGAACAGATAGCGTTTATTCACACAGTTCAGAGATACTGCTCAGTTATTCTCACAGCTGCTAATAGAGCTAATGACATTTCAGAAAGGAGACAGAGCGAGCTGAAAGAACTCTGCATGAGCGTTTAGAGTTCAGGCTCAGCCACTTACCAGCCAAATGGAGATTCTAATCCCTTAAGGACTCCATGTCTGCATTCATTCATTCAACTCACAAAAAATATTGAGCACCATATGTTTCCTAGGGGCTGAGACTGAGCAGTGAAAAAAACAGATGAAAATCTTTGTCTTCGTAGAATTTACATCTTAGTCAGAAGAGATGAAAAGAACAAGCAAACTAACTAGGACATCACATGATGATTGGCATTAACCATCAGAGACCGAGCAGAGTGTGTCTGGCTTCCCGCTGAAATGTTGATGACTGATCTAGGCTCTTTCTCATCTTTATAACTTGGTACTCTATATGCTACCTCAAAACCAAACTCAGAGCCTTTCAGTTCAAAACTAGTTCTTTATCTTCTTCTTAATTTAAATAATTTTATTGGGGGCTCTTGCAGATGTTATAACAATCGATAAATCAATTATTTCAAGCAAACTTGTACATATGTTGCCATTGTCATTTTCAAGACATTATCTTTCCACTTGAGCCCTTAATATCAGCTCCTCTTAAAATAGTTCTTATTCTAACAGCTGTCTATGAAATTCCTAAATTCACTTTTCAAGAATTATTTTGAACTTCTGTTACTATACATTATATCCTTTATAAGTAATGAAGATACAGGTATGAACAAAATGTGGTTCTTGCCTTCATGTTTGTACATTATTTTAAATCCTAATGTATATAAAGCTCCAATCACGATACATAATAATTTTCTAATAATTATATTTGGCATTATAATTATGATAAGCAATACTACTGGTAACAATGATAAAAAGAGAAGAGAGGAAATTCTTTAATGAATGTAGATCCCCTTGCTCTTTCCTTGCTAATTTGACTAATGGAGCTCTGGGATATATCACCACTCCTAATGATATAAAAAGAAATGGGTGAATGTTTTGTAATATGTGGAGGATGCATTTGGCCTGTGATCAATGAAGTGCTGGCATGTCCACAGTTTTCAGAGAAGAACTTTATGATTCTTGAGGGCAGAAACCCTATCTTGTCCCTACGACCTGGGGTCTAGCAATCATATGAATCAGGCTTTAGTAGAATGAAACAGAAGCTGTTCTCAAAGTCAGGCTTAACCAAACACAGTGTTGCTGGGATTGGGAATAGCACAGGAACAAAGGTCCCTCATAGGTAAAGCAGCCATAGTTTTAGAGTCTCAAAGGAAACAGATATCCATCAGGTATAATGACGTGCAGTCTTGTTGGTATACACCATAAGGTTCAATGATTGCGTAGCCAGGTTCCCTTTAAGCTGCTCATGTGTGTGTTTGCCCAAAACAAATAAACTGACGTATTTGACCGCATTTGACCATACACAATTGACAGTAAATAAGACCAACTCTTTGCAGGGTTATGTAATCTGTAAGCTTATTACTGTGTCCTTAGTCTCTCCTTAAAACAAATAAACAAACCAAAAGACCCTTAAAAGAAAGAGTATGGTGTAATTCACATACCATACAGTTCAATGGTTTGAATATACTAAATAATGTGCAATCATCACCACAATCATTGTTAGAACATTTTCTTCATTGCTATCCCCATTATTACTAGTTCCCCATTTCCCCCCAACTCCCCCCCAACTTCCCTCCATAACCCTAAAGAACTATTAATCCAGTTACTAGCTCCATAGATTTACCTACCCAGGATTTTATATAAAGAAAATCATATCAAAAATCCCAACAAAGATAACAAAATAAAACACAGGAGAAACCCCAATCCAAGGAAAGCAGAAGATACTAGAAACTCAAGGGGATTTAAGTAGAGACCCAAAGCCCATCTGTAGGCAATTGGATATCCTCCCACAGAAGGTTTATAAGGAAAGGATGATTCAACCAAGGTGCAGTATAGCACCGACAAACCACACATTATTCCTCTAGTTCCTGAATGCTTCCTCCCCACCACCACCACCACCACCACTACCATTACCCAGTTCTACCTTACAAATCTGGCTACACTGGAGAACACACATTGGTACAGATAAGAGCTCCAGACACACGATTAAACCCCTCAGGAACAGTAGTTGGAGTAGTGCTATCATGAGGGTCGGGGGATGGCCAGGTAGAGGAAGGGGGAGAAAGGGGGAACTCATCACAAGGTTAGATATATAGCACACACACCCCCTCAAAGGAAACGAATAACAGAAATGTGGGTGAAGGGAGACAACAGACAGTGTAAGATACTAAATAATAATAACAATATAAATTGATCAAGGATTCACAAAGGTGGGAAGCTGGGGGATAGAGGGGAGGAAAGAGGAGCTTATACCAAGGGCTCAACTAGAAAGAAAATGTTTTGGAAATGATGAGGGCAACATATGTACAAATATGCTGGATACAATTG